ACACCCCCGTTTGGTTGTAAATGAGAAATCCCCTCAATCACCATGAACATTGTTTTGTTTTAACATGAAAATAGTTGCCTTGTCTATGAAAGGACAAGTTGGCAGCACTCTCCTCAGATGCCCAATGATCATGGGATATATTGTTTCGTGCTACTGCCAACCACTCCTGGCCTGGGGCAGATATCAAATTATAGGGGATTAAATTTTTAGAGGACCAGAGAGATCATAGACTTCAAGGATCTTCAAAGTGAACACCCAGGAAGGGCTCTATGGAAGTGGCTTGCTCCTGGTGGAGCTACAGGGCCCCCTCAAGGCATGTGGTTCCAGACACTTCCTCTCCATTCCCAGAGGAAACTCCAACTGTATCTGTTTTTATATATTGGCCATCTATGTAAGATTACATTTAACAAAAGGACTCTGCAGCCAAGGAAAAGAAGAAAGCAAAATTAAAAGAATATTTGAAAAATCACTCATCTGGTCCAACTCTTTAATTTTAGATTTAATGAAATCTAAAACTAAAAGACTAAGAGTCTTAACTGACATCACCCAGCAAGTTAGTGCCAGAGCCAGGAATATACTGGGGTCAACTCCCAGTCTCATGCAATTTTCCCTCCTGCTGAAAGATGGAGCTAAAATCGCAGATGTTGCAGGGTCAAGCTTTACACCTTACATATCAGATGTACAAAAAACAGTAGCTTATTTTCAATAACTGATGTAATCTTGCTTTGAAGTTTTCATTTCTACAGATGGCAGAAATAAACTTAGGAAGCAACATTCTCTTCCAGAGTGAAAGGGGCGGGGGTCTCACTTCACTGAAACCAACACTAACACTGTAGCAAAGCCTATTCTCTGCCTCCTGTAGATCTTCTCTTCTCTCTTCCCCAAATGGTGTCTGGGTGATGGAGAAGCTTATGGAGCCTCATGGATACAGAAAAAGGGCTGTGAATTTTGCAAGTCAGCTTTCTTTTCAGGCTTCTGCCATCCTACAGCTGGGGCATAATTCCTCTCCATCTTTGGGCATTGCCTGTGTTTGCTGTACACGTGCTATGTAAGCGTCTGCAGCTGGTGTAATTTGTGGTCCGTTCTCTCAGCACGGGGAGTCAATGGTGAGAGCTCCCAGGGAGTGAGGCCATCTCTCTATGAAAATTCTGAGCAGGACACAGTGCCATAGGAAGGCCATCTTCAGAATAGACACCATTGCTGTTTAGGGAAGCTCTACCTAAACAGGAACCTCCACAACTGAAAATTAACTAGAATTGTATGCATTCTTTCCTTTTTCTTGAAGTAGAAAATTAAAAGCAGACACATAGTTATTTTGAAAAGTAAGTCTTCTTTTTAAAGACAGCAGAGTAAAAACACTTAGGCTATTCTCCTTCCTAAAAATCCAATGAAAACAATAAACGGAACAAAAATAGAAGGAAAAATCTCTCCATCATGAATGAAACAAGGAAAGAGCTATAATCCCAAACCACAACTATGAAGAACACCTGCCAAAGATCGTGGGCGTGGATGGAGATGAGGGAGGCCCTGCATGCTGACAAATGCCTCTTTGGATCTCAAGCAGGATCTGTATTTCTTTCAAATTAGTGAGGCAACCTAAACAAAGTCAAACCAACAGTCCTTTGATTACAGAAAGGACCTTGAAGGATGTGAGACATGGGAGAAATGGGACTGTCCTTAGAGATACAGAGTTTTTGATGCTACAAATTTTTACTAAACTTTTTACTTTTATAACTTTTTGAAATTGTTTATGATTACTTCTCACCAAAACAATGGTTATTCTAGCATTAAGTAAAAATTGACGAAAACAAAACAAAGCAACTGGCTTCATTAGCCCTGTGTAGGGAGGTGAAAGGGTAACTAACAGTGACATAGAATTCTTCTTAGAAGTGAGAGTCTTTATTATAATATTTTACTGGCTAAAGTATAATAAGGTAAATCAGAATGAGAATCTGGAAGAAGAGTGAAGGCCGAATTGTTTTGTATTTGAATATGGGCACAGCTACTAGGATTTAGCTGAGATGTTTCTCTCCTGAGTCAAGGAGAAAGAGAAAGGTAACTAAGAACAGTGGGAGTCAGAGTAGCAGTGGTACAAATATTAGAAACTGAATCGGTAGAAATAGCCAAAAAGCTTTCACATTTGAGAATTCTGAGATTGTTTTTTTTTTTAAAACAAAACAAAACTTCTTGGCTTCCGTAACCTTTTTGCTATATCCACAAAGGTCTTGGTTTTATTTACTTGTTTGTTTTTTTATTTCATGAGGTTGAGGAGAAATAGGAAAGCAATTGGAAAGAGGAAGTGACCAGCAGAAGTTCAAGACCTGAATCAGATGTAATGAGGAAAGTCACAAGCTCCTCCCATCTCTACCCCTAGACACCCACCCGCTGCTCCAAACTTCATGCCCACACCTGCAAAGGGGGATTGAGCCACATTCATTTGTACCTCAGCTGATCTCCAGATTAACTGTGCTATACACTTTGGTTTGGGAGTAAGGATGGGCCCTTTTGATTGAGTCTAAGTAGGAAGGCATTTCAGGGAGCAGGGAAGACAAGGCAAACAATATAGTTTTTGCTTCACAAGTGACACCTCTCTATTAAAATGCTCACCTGTAATACTGATGTATTGGTCAGCTTTCTTTCACTGTGGCATACCTGAGATAATAAACTTAAAATGAGGAAAGGTTTATTTTGGCCCATGGTTTCTGTGGTTTCAGTCCATGATCGTTTGGCCTTGTTATCTTTGGGCTTTTGGCAAGGAAGCATATCGTGAGAGGAAGCACGTGATAGAGCAAAAGTGCTTATTTCATAGCAGCCCACAAGAAAAGCAGAAGAGAGAAAGAGACAGGGACCCCAACATCCCCTTCAAGAGCATGCTCCCAGTGAGCATGTTAACTTTCTTACACTTCCTAAGTTTTCATCACCTCCCAATAGTGCCACAAGGTGGTAATCAAGCCTTTAAGGCCTTTGTGGGACATTTCAGATCTACACCATCACAACTGATTAAAAACAAAAACACTACTACTTCCTGAAAGCCCAAAGCTCAAAGACAAGTCATCAGCTAAAATACTTCTTTTACCATGGTGAGAAAGAAAGAGAGTAACCAAGATTTTTAAACTTCCACTTTAAAAGATAGAAGAAAAAGAAACACTCAAGAGTCACTCATCAGTAGCAAATAGTAAGTCCTGCTGAATAGGCATAGTAATGACTCCCAGGGCCAATATTACTTGGTTGATGATTCTAGAAGCTGCCCTCTGGGATAATAGCCTTGTTAATTATTCCCTATGAATACATCCTTGATAGGTAATAAAGAATATAGTTTTCCTGGGGAAAGCACAGTTTCCACAGACCTCTTCATGCTAGTGTGGATCTAGAGGCCTGAAATTTGTTTTAAGGATAAAAATCACAGGCTGTTGCCAGGCAGGTTTGAGATGACAATGACAATGTGGTTTCCTAAAAGTCTTAGTTGGCATTTCCTCTGCAGCTTCCTATCACTTCCATGTGTATGAAGAGGTGGCCAAAGATTCTGCATGCATAGTCTTTAAATTAGATGGTTCCCTCCCCTTAGTTCTAACATTAGTGATCCAGCACTTCCTACTCCTTCAGTGCCCACTTCTTCAAGACAATCTGAAATCATAGCTTCTCTGGGGAGATACCTCTGCGAACCTGAACTTTTCCAATGGGCCTAACCAATGTGTCTAGCAGAGAACCTTTAATTAATGGGAGAGAGACAGAGTATTTCTATTCCAGGCTGCTTCTTCTAAGGCACTATTTCTTATAGCTTTGGGCGGACAGGTAAAGAAGAAGTTGACTGGTTGCCTTTCAAAGTGGGGCTTCCCACTATCTTAGTTATGGCCACAATTAGAGAGAACTTTCTTTAGGAAAGCAATATTTTCATCCAGTTCTGGTATCTAGTCCCTGGTGCTTGACAAGACACTCCTAAGCACAGTTCTTCATTTTAGATCCTAATGACATTTAGATTTACTCTACTTTCTTACTGTCATAGACCAAATTTCTCTATTAGTTTATTTTCTTTCCTTTTTAAAAATTTTTGTTGTTTTCATTACTGCAAACTATAGAACCCAGGCAGGCTAGTTTAAGCAGAAAAGGACCTTATCAAGAGTAGCTCAGTGACTTATTCGGAGGTCTAGAGAAGAAGAAGCTACAGCTGTAAGACCATTAGGAACCCAGTCCTGTCTCCCACAGACCTGACCTGATGGGGATGCTGCTCCCTCTACTGTTATTTGCTGCCACCTTCACCCACAAAATAGAAGCTCAGATCCCAGGTTGTTTCTTGGTGTTGTAGACTTCCAAATCAGCATGTGAATGTGAATGTGCTTCAGTAAGGGAGCTATGTTTGTGGCCCAGCAGCAAAGCATGCTAGGAAATTCTGCCCTAGAAAGATAAAATTCACAATGTGGAAAATGATGAAAATGTACAGTAGGGGTTTAACAGAATGATAGGCATCCACTATAGAGGATATTCATTTTTTAATGAAGAATTTTCCCTTTTGACCACTAGAATACTGGAGGCCCTCATAGGCAACAAAAACTGTAGAAAATATGGGTGAAATACGAAGCTGAAAGCATGGTTTGGTTGAAGATTTGTGGAAGGTAGACCAGCTAGATCTCTAGGTTCTCTTGCCTTTCCCCACGCAGCTAGGCAATTGTCCTCACACCTTTCCCTTCTCTTAAATGACTAGAAGTTCATTCTCTGGAGAAGTTCCAGGCTGGGGAACACCAGGTCTAAGAGAAGATAGGGCCAAGGTGCTGCATGAAAAACAAGGAGATTAAGGGAAATTCTGCTTGGTAAGTGTGTGGATAATCTATCTTTAAGACTCCAAGAGATGTCTTCATCTATCTGTAACTATATCCCAGCAGCAACATTCTAAAAAATGCCATTGTGGTTCTAGGCACCTTGGTTGTGGGCCGGGGGAAAGGGACTGAAGTAGCTTATAACAATTCTGTAGGGAAATATGTTCTCATTTCTACTCCCCAGATCTGTCTCTTGCCTGTCCTGCTGTTCCATTTTGCAGTATCTTATGAGATTCCTAAGAGTATCCTGGACACATTGAAGAGAAGGGTGAGCCTTACTCATTTCCAGTGAGAGAAATGAGTGAAATGGGTCTGATTTACATCACAGGTGAGCTAGACAGCATACAAGTAAAGAACCTGATCCTCAAGCACAATATCTAAAAGTAAAAAATATCACACTTTTTTTCCTAACTGAAGTTCAGCCTTCTGTGGTGAAGTTGGTTTTCCTACTGTGACCTGTGCACTCCGGTCTACCAGCCTGACACTACACGCCATCTGCTGGTTCCAAACTATATAGCTCCAGAGTAACTGCTGACGCTGTTGGGGAACAGAGGACCTGGCCTCCTGAAGAAGCACCAACAGGCCCTCTGCTTCAAGTTGTAGGTGTGAACAAATCCAGACCACTAAGAGGTAAGAAAAATGAAGAATATCCTGTTTTGCCACACACCTTAGGGTTATCATCATTCACTTAAAGCTCATGACCACAAAAATTTTTCTACTTTTCTCAGGTGTCTTGAAGTTTTGACGTGAGTAGAAAATATCACTTCTAGAAAAATTAAAAATATACTAATTCAAAGTACACTGATTTTTACACTAATCCTCCTCTTAAAGATTATGCCATCTTAAGAATCATGCCTCAGATTCTATGCCAGCTGGTGTGGCAAGACTGAATCTCTGTGTGCTACTAGTATGTTTAATTCTAAGGCATCAGTGATTGCCAGGTAATAAATGAATGCAACTACATAGTCATAACTAACAATTGGTGTCAATGTTACTATATTTCCTGTTAAAATGGTGTATTACATTTATTGATTTGCATATGTTGAACCACCATCCCTGCATCCCTAGGATGAACTCTACTTGGTCATGGTATGTAATCTTCTCTATGATTTGCTGCATTGTTTGCCAGTATCTTACTGAGAATTTTTATGTCTATGTTCGTTAGAGAGATTGGCCTGTAGTTGTCTTTTTTGGTTGGATCTTTCTCTGGTTTTGGCATCAGGGTAATGCTTGATTCCAGGAATGAATTTGGAAGTATTGCTTCCCTTTCAATTTCATTAGAGTTTGAGAAGTAATGGCATTAGATCTCTCTAATTTCTTGTAGAATTCAGCAGTGAATCCATCAGGGCCTGGGCTTTTCTTTGTTGGTAAGTTTGTAGTTACAGCTTCACTTTCATTGACTGATACTGGTTTATTTAGAATTTTTACATCTTCTTGATTCAGCTTTGGTAATTCATATGTACCTAGGAATCTATCCATTTCTTCTGTGTTTTCCATCTTATTAGAATACGGGTTCTTGAAGTAGGTATTGATCTTGTGGGTTTCTGCAGGATCTGTTGTGGTTTCACCCTCTTCATTCCTAATTGCATGGATTTGAATCTTTTCTTGGTAAGGTTGGATAAGGGTTTGTCAATTTTATTTAATCTTTCAAAGAACCAACTCTTTGATTCATTGATTGTATGTATTGTTTTCTTAGCCTCTTTTGCATTAATTTCTGCTCTGAGTTTTATAATTTCCTCCCTTGTACAAGCTTTGGACTTGACTTGCTCTTCTTTTTCTAGAAATTTGAGGTTCAACAATAGGTTGTTTATTTGAGCTTGCTCTGTTTTTCTAATATGAGAATTCACTGCTATAAATTTCCCTCATAGGACTACTTTCTTTGCATCCCATAAGTTCCAGTATGTTGTATTGGCATTACTGTTTAATTGTAGAAATTGTTTAATTTCTTCTTTAACTTCATCTTTGACCCAATGGTTGTTCAGGAGGGTGTTATTTAATTTGGATGTTTGTTTTCTGTTCCAAGTATTACATTGTCTCCCAAGCTCTTTGAGGAAAGCAGATCTGTCCAGTCTCCAGGGTGGTAGACCCTTAGAAAGGTAACAGTGGTAACAATTTTACTCCCAGGGTATGCTCCCAACCATTCATAAACCAAAAAACAAACAAAAGATTCTCTCACAGAGCCACATCCATATGGAGCCAATAATCCAGTAAAATGAGTGGCAGAGAAATAATACAGCTATCCTCACATATTAAAAGTATTTTAAAATCTGGCCACTACTTGCAAATTGTAGGACCAAGTGTACTATAAATAGAAAAAAAAATACTTTCTCTTACATCTTGTTCAAGATGTAGCTATTCATTTATTGAGCAATTGCCCTGACCTTGCAAGGTTCAGAACCCTGGGATTAGAGGGCAGCACATGGTTATTTTCCAGGCTTTCTAGGCTGTTGATGGAAACTCCAACTGGCCAGCATCTTTGTTCCATCCTCAAGATATGGTCACCTTATTGGCCAAGAGGCAGATTGCAAATTCTTGGGTTAGTTATTACATGTAGGTATAACAGAAAGAAATTAGCACACAGGGAGGGAGAGTATTGAGACAGAAGGTGAATATCCTGAAAGCTGTGTTCTAGACCAGCCTGCCAGCAATCTGCTTATTCACAATGTGATTTATCTTTCAAAGCTTAACTTTTCTCATCTTCTAATTTCTACTCTTACTTTCTACTCACTCTTCCTCAACCTCCTTCCCCTTTCCAGCCTGGGTTAGGGGATGGGAAACAGCAGAAGGTTCTGCAAACTCCTTTTCAAGATGATAAGAGTAGAAAAATCTCAGTCCTGGCTGCTCGACAAATCCCACAACGCATCTTTAAATTCTCATCCCTGTATTCTGGTCTTTTTATAATTTTCCTCTTCCTTTCTCACTGTTTTCCTTTCTCCCTCCATTGTTTCCTTTCCTGTCCCTTTCTGTTCCCATCAGAACCTCTCTCCTCTGGCATTTAGCCAATTTCCCACTTCTATTTCACTTTACTATCCATTAGGGTTTCCATCTAAAATGTCTCCCGAGACAGTCATGTTTTCAGAGGTGGGGCTTTTGGAAGACAATTAAATCATGGGGGCACTATACTCATTAGTGGATTAATCCACTGATAAGTTCATAGCTGAATGTGATGTTTGGAGGCAAGGCCTGGTTGGAAGTGGAAGATCACTGGGGATATGAACTGGGAGGGTATATTCTTTTTCCTGGTGCTTCCCTCTCCTTCTCCCTATCCATCTCCTTCCCCTTCTCTGTCTCCTTTTCACCTGCCATGGATTGAGCCTTTATCCCCTGCCATGCCCTTCCACCATGCCATTTCTTCCCTGGAGCCAGCCAGCCATAGACTGAACTTTCAGAAACCATGAGCCAAAACAAACCTCTCCTCCTTTAATTTGTGGGTGTCAGTGACAGGAAAGTGACTAATACACTGTCTTGTGATGCTGTGTTCTCATAGCTAGGTGCTGTTTAAAAAAATAAATAAATATATTGCATGTATGGGTACCTGGGCTTGTTGCAGGAATTTTGGGAAATATAAAGTTCATAATGATGATGTTGGTGATGATAGCCATGGGTTACTGAGCACTCACTCTTCACATGCCATACTGAAAACATATCATATGTATTCATTCATTTAACAACTCAATAATCAATATGAACATATTTTTATTATTCCTATTTTTAGATAAAAAATAATGAGTTACAGAGATGCTAAGTAACATAAAATTTAAAAATTACACATAATACCATGCTCAGAATAACTGTAGCTTGCATTGAGTCCTGGTTTCTGAAAGAAGGGAAGGCTCTTCCTTCATGCATGCATTCATTCACTCAAAAAAACACTATGCCCAAAACTCTGTGCTCTCTTGAGGTCAGTTGTGGGGATTGAAGGACCCTTTCCAATAACCATTTTTAAAACATGGCCTTTTGTCACTGAATGCACAACAAACTTCAGGCCAGTGGAAAAACTAAGCAAAAATCCACCATCATCCTTTATTCCTTTATTTATATACAGCCATGCCAGAGACAAAAATCCAAACAAGAACTAAAGGTCTTGCCAAATGCTCACTTTTGCCCTGAGAGCAAGCATTTCAATGATTGGCATATGTTCTAGAAAGAGCATTGAATATTATCTCCAAAGTGTCATTTCCTAATGGGCTTTCCCAGTGATGGTAACTACACTCAAGCATGCACACTCAATGCATGTTTGATGACATGGGAAAGTGCTACTAAAGGAGAAAAGAAAGCCACAAAACAGAATCTATGGTATCATGGCAAACATCACAAAAAAAGGGGAAAGGGGCATATGCATTGAAAAAAACCTGGAAAATAAAAATGTTTTTAAAATTGAATGATTCTACCTAAAGGAAAGTCATAGAAGATTTCTTTCTTCTTTTTTGCTTCCCAAAATTTTCAACGTGAACATATATTAAGTGTACACTCAGAAAAAGGGCAATATATTATCTTTTTAAAAGTTGTACAAGTTAATTAGAATTAGCAGCCAATAAATTACATTTGGGTGAAATTTGGTCTTTTAGATTATTTTTTTATTTTAAAGACCTTATTATCATTCATAAACACACATATATGCAAAAATTAAAATTATTCAAAGAAAAACAATGCAAGGGAAAAAACTATAATAATATTCAAATATAATAGACTCAACCAAAGCAAAACTGAAAAGTACTTAAACATTTTTCCATACAATTTAAAAAACATCTCAAGCATTAACAAGACATCAAAGGATGTGATTTATTTTAGAAAGGTTTTCAAAACTAATATTGAACAAATAGTGGTCTGGAAAAAAATTCTAATTAGCTAGTAGACTCCACATAGGACAAAGTTTTTTAAGTTAAATTTCAATACAGTCATGTGACAAGTGATGGAAATATAATCTGAGAAATATGTTATTAGGCAACTTCGTCCATGTGTATCACAAAGTATCACACAGAGTGCCAACTACTAAGTGCAAACTGAGAAGGTATACGTCAATCATCTGTGATGGCCCCTTGATATTATCCAAATACACAGTTAAACAAGAGATACATGAAGCTACCATTGGCATAGCAGCACACTGTTTTACAGTAAGATCTTTTATATAAGTAGGATTATGCTCTAAAGGATGAAAAGCACAGCATGTTATGATAAGTACCTAAAACAGTAACAGTTATTTATCACTCTATCGAGTACTGTGTAGTGTAGATAGTTGTATGTGCTTCTTCTGGAAACGTACCCTTCTCTCCTTTGATCTCAGTGACTCTTCCTTCCCAACCCACTGATGAACTCCAGCCTAGTCTCTATCTACATCACTTCCTACAGCTTTAAACACAATCTATATATGGATTATTTCCAGATTCCAGCCTGTAACCTGATCTCTCCCCTTCCCCTCCTGCCAGCCCTACCCCTTTGAACCTTTTCTTCCTATTTCAAATTATCAATTATTCATTTTAATCATTTTAATCCTTAATTACACTTTCAGTTTCTCATACTAGAGAAACTATTCGGTATTTACACGTGTGTCCTATTTATTTCACTTAAGAGTATGGCCTCAATATGCAT